AATGCTCTTTTGTTCTTTTAGTTGATTGGATTTATATAGATCTCATTGAATCTCCTCATTGAATCAGCCTGGAAATGCCTCTCTAAATTGGATCATCTGCTGCTTCCATGGTGCTTTCTCTCCTTCAGAAGGAATTAATGTTATCTCTACGTACCTGCTTATCAGCTCGAGATCTTCAGTGTTATATCATGGGGTGCTTCCCAGGGTAATGGACTTTGAGCCTGGCAGGGTTGCTGATGCGTGCGGTTCTGCATGTGGGTTAAAGATGTTCAGGATTGGGCCTTTGTGTCTGTGGTCTCGCTTGGGCGGGTTTTCATTCACACTCTTTGTTGGGGGAAGGGAGGAAGAATAGGGATTTTGAAATGTGTGTTTATAATTAACAGGATTTTTTTACTTTTTTTTTTTATTAACAGGGTGACAGATGAAGTGTTTAACTTTCTATTAGTGTGGTATTACTGCACGCTGACGATACGGGAGAGTATTCTCATTAGCAATGGATCCAGGTATCATGCAATCTGCAAAAACTATTTAAAGCATGCAGTGTCCTTAAAAGAAAAATGAGCAACAAAAGCGGATTTGGTTTGGTGTTGAAGCCCAGCGAATCTGAGATGATGATCCTTCTCTACAGGGTCTGTTGTCTCCGACACTCTCTGTTCACTTCCAAAGGCAGGCGTGGCCACCTGAGATTGGGGAAGGGAGAAGGTGCAGTTTCTGAGAAGTCCATAGTCTCTTGGTCCAAAATATTGAATGTTCTTGGTAGATACAAGTTAGTTGTAGATGTGGTCTAGGATATAAAAGTGTGCATGTTCAGCAAAACGACCAGCCCGAGGTACTGGCTTTGTGCCTTTCTTTGACTGTAGCAGTGCATGTGCGTCTGTGTGAATGCATACATAAACTGATTTCATAGTAGAAAAAGGAAGTAGAAGCTAAGTTAATATCTGCAATATGTTGTGTGGTTAGCCTGACCTCTCCGCAGGTCACTGCAGCATGTTCTGAAGTGCTCGACTAAATTACAGTTGTGTCGAGGGAAAATTGGTGGTTAGGAGGAGATAATTGTATAAAGAGCTAGGAGCGCAAGTAAAGCCCCGTGAGAAGTAAAAGATGATCCTTACGCCTTGCCCCCGCTTTCCTTTTTATGACAGTATCCTAAATCGCTTCCAGGCTCAGGTGGAGTTACTGGGAGTTTCCAGTCTCCTGTTCCAGTTACATCCTTGGCACTGAGCTTTGCAGCTCAGATGATGTCCTGGGTTATTAAGTGCACCCAGAAAGTTATTACAGTAGAAGAATCCTGGGAGGAGGAATACATCTTTCTCTGAGAGTCTTATCCAGTTTTGTTGCAGGGTCCAGCTTGCAGCTATCACGGGGTCTGGGTGCTCCCCTGCAGGGCTACGTGCCTGGGTGAAGTTGAGGCTGATGATGGTGCAAGGACCATTGGGTGTGCAGCTCTCTGAGCGGATGTGAACCCAAAGAGCTTTTGGGGCCAGGACTGCTAAGCGGTATGGCAGTCTGGCTGCGGAGCAGGGTGGTGAGATCTTGCTTGTGATTTGTTCCTGGAGCATCCCCTTGAAGTTTGGGTTCTGTGTGCTGTGTGATATTCCTGTGAATCACTGCTTTAAATGAGAATTGGGGGATGTGTCTTGTTTGTGCCAGGGGGAGAGAAGAGCAGGCAGCCCATCCTTGCCAAAGAGTCTGATAAGGGTGTCGAGGGAGGGAGCTTCACATCTGATGATAAAAAATACCTATGGAATACGACTCCACCAGAAATGGGTTCAAACAAAAGTCAACCCACAATCCACGTGTGTTTCTAAAAATCAAAATGAAACAAACGCTCAAGCTGGCACTTCTCGTTTGAGCCAAATGGTGCGTGTGCCATTCTGGCACTTCCAGGGAGGCGCTCATGTCCCTACCCCTCCTCCTGAGAGTCCCCCAGAGCAGGAGGAACGGCAGCTGCCGACTCCTGCAGTGCTCCTGGGAACTCTGAGACAGCCCTGGGTGAGAGCTCTTCTCCCCTGGCTTTTTTGAAAGAGTGATAAATCTTGCTGTTTTTGCTGTGCCTTTTGCCTTCTTTACTCTGGCACATCTCAGCAGAGCTTAGAGAAGTTCCTTGGATTTGCACTCGTGTAACTTAAACTGGAGTGTGATCTTAGATTTTAGCAAGAACCTGATGGCTGCATGTCCCAAGGTCACGTTGTCCAGATAGGCTGGCACGGCACACAGTGGGGAAAAAGGCAGCAATTGCTGCGTCTCTTCCTGAGCATGAGTTTGCACGTTGGTGTGCTGCTAGGTGAGTGGCTGCTGCTGCAATGTTGGCAGCTCCCTGTTGCATTAATTAATTGAGCTGCTAACTTATCTCGTTTACTGCCTTTTGAACAGCCAACATTGTGTTAGCTCAGCTTCCCACACGCGTTCCTGCTTGGCAAACGCTGCTCTGGGGAGCCGGATGACTTGCATGCTCCCTTGTAATTGAACTTGTACAGGGGCAGACCAGCACTCTTGCTGGTGGCAGGAGTCAGTGCTGTCAGCAGCACTCCTAATGAAGTGGTAACGATGGGGGTGTGCATTGCTTTAGCAAGGCCTGGCAATCAGCTAGGAGCAACTGAGGGTTCCTTATTTCAGTCGGTCACTTCTACCTCTGAAATCAGTGTGCACTGGTGGTTTCGTCTGGGATCTCCTTGGACCCGAGTTGGGAGGATCCATTTGGGGAGAGTGACAGCAGGGAGGAAACAGTCCCGAAGCATTTTGGGAGGATGCCAGGAGTCTGCTGCAGCGCTATGCCCAGCTTGCACTGCTCCCTGGTAGCTACGGTGCTGGGGTAGGATGGTGGGAGAGCAACGGTGGGTGTGCTCCTACCTGTGGGTTGTGTAAAGAACAACAGAAAAGGTCAAGGTTCCCCACTTCTGCCAAAGTAGAATCTTAAAAACGTGCTCAGAGCCGGGAGCTTCTTGAGGACACGTTCCTGGTGCTGGCCACCTGCAGAACGG